CCGTCAAAATCTCAATATGATCATAAATTGTATTGTAAAGTCTTCATAAATTACAAATAAAGAAAACAAAAATATTATCATCAGTAGACATGGAACAGATTTGTTTATATTACAATTTCCTAGACTTCTATAACATGTCAGGCATATATGGCACTCATATACAAGTGCAAACGAAGCTTCAGACTCATTACAAACCAAACACGTTTCTCGAAAACGGCGAGCGTCATTTGGGAACACATCAGAGAACCCGCCGGCGATATATCGTGACCGGTACATCTCGCCAAAAGATTTATACGAAGATTGGATATTACTAAAAGCATAATCGACCTATGATTATGCTCCTGGCGATCTTAACATACCTTTATTAAATGCATTTAACATTTTGATCGCAACCATCATAAGATTAGTAGAAAATTAATTAAAAAAAACTACAATCTGCATTTATAAAGTCAAGTAGATTATTAGTTACTTTTATAAATACACAAAAGATAGAGAACGAACTTCGCTAATAGTATTATCTTAAAACAAATGTTTATACATAAATTAAGTTAAAAAAAAACTCGGGGAATGTGAAACTGTAGTAAAATTCTCACGTAACAAAATTGAGTTGATAAAGACGGATGGATAAACTTTTACTACTCACGCAAAAACTAAATAACATCTTTGTAACTTTGTCTTTGAAATTTAAACTTCGCTTTACCTGAGGTTTGCATAAATGATTACGTACTAAAGTTACGAAGAGAACGTCTTTAACGGAGCACTGTTAAAATCAGTGAAACGGTGCGATAAACGCGAAAAGTTTTACACAACGTGATTTAAGGTTTCCCGATTTCCCATGAACGTGAAATGGAATATAATAGAATACGTAACAAATGGTATATTTCATTCTGTGTTAATGCTTTTAAAAATCTATCTCAAAATAGTTAATCTGCATTTATTTATTAGTAAGACCTAAATTACTGCCTTACTTAAAGACATCTTGCACTTTTAAACTGGATACTTAGGGCCTGTTCTACCTCTGGCTGATACTCAGTTAGCTTAAAGAAGATAAGAGCACAAAATCCAATATTTCCATCACATATTTAACACTTTGGATTTTTATCAATTTACAATTTGGTGGGACAGGCCCTTATAGTTTTAAACGTTTCTTAAATTAAACATTCTTATTCGTGACTAGCTGTTCCCGTGCGACTTCATTCGCACGAAATAATGAAAATTGTTTTATTGATTACATTTGTGTGATTATCAATAGCAAATGTCAAAATGACATGACATGACAAACCTTGGCAATCTTGGTTCCTTGATGTTGGCAGCAACTTATGGTCTCTTTCCCACATTAGGGTTTTTAAACAAAATATTTACCCCCTAAGTTTAATGGCGTGAAATATATAGCCTAAAGCGTGACGTAAGTGTAGGGTTTTTTATTACAAAAATAATTATTCAAAAATATGCCGTAATTGCTGAGATCTTAGGCAACAAAGAAGTGTGTGTTTACGCTTTATTATAATAGTATAGATTAACTGAATCTTTAGTGAATGACCAAGAATTGTAGTCGTATCAAATCATTTCAACCATTTCAAGGAAAAACAATATCGTCAGTACTTATATTCGTGTCAAATATCACATATGTATGTATGAAACAGCTGGCCATTCCGCAACTGCATTATTTATCTAACATAGTAATCGAAGGACTCTAACAAAATAACTTAACCATTAATGTATAAACGCTGTTGTTTGATGCTGTTCTTTTATTCATCAGTTAAAGGAACACAGGGTCAACACTACAATGAAGTATTTAGTTGTTACCACCCATGACGCGTCAAGCTATGCATTAAATCAGCAATTTATCTACCACTAGCTTTCGCCCGCGACTCCGTCCGCGTGGAATTAAAAAAAAAACAAAAGTGAGTAGCCTATGTGTTCGTCCAGACCATCGTCAACATCTGTACCAAATTTCACCGAAATCCGTTCAGCCGTTTAGGCTACAAACCCTAACAAACATCCATCCATCCATCCATCTAAACTTTCACATTTATAATATTAGTTAGATTAATTAGATTTACAAGAAAACTTGCATCATAAAGTTAATTTGAATAGAATGAATTTTAAAAAGCATTTTACTCTCTACTTCATTAACAGTAAACAATGTTTTAAGATAAATACTGAATTATACACGGTTAACCTATACACCTTTCCATCGTAAACTACAGGAAAAACTTAATACCACAATAGTACAACCAATTCAACATTGCATATTAGCAACTTACACAATACAACAAAATAGTTCCTCTGTAGATATCAATGACCAGTTTATGTACAACTGTGACAGGGAATCCTTCCAATACAACTCGTATCAGATCAAGATAATCCAATCTCGGCGTAATCCCCTCCCCTTCCTACCCTGCACTATTTAATCTTTCCTATTTAGTACTTGATATACCCTGCAGTACATAAAATGTACACTTGTAAATCTGTAATAATTTGTTTGTTTATTTTTTATTTAATTCATTAGCCAAAGTAAATATATTCGTATCGTTAACTAGAGAGCGAAATTGACTATTAAATATATGGAAATATAAACAGTGAAAACATTACAACGAAGAAATTATAGTAGGCATTAGAAATGAAGATATCTGCTTACTGATTAGAGTGCTACAAACACAGCACGATCGAAGTCGCACGAAAGAAAAACCAAATCAATTCCACAGAAGGAAAGTAATCAGCGGAGAAATGAAGCAAACATGCGACTGTAAGAGTTAAAAAAAATACATCTTACTAATATTGTAAATGGTAAAGTTTAGATGGAAGTTAAGAGTTAGAAGCCTAAACTGCTCACGAACTGATCACGATGTATTTTGGCATGGATGTAGAGGATAGTCAGGAAGAATACATAGGCTTTTTAATTTCTTTTTTAATTAAACATATTAATAATGATAACATTATGAAGTGGTTAATTTTATAAAGCTGGCTACATTATGTTTCCACATTTCGTCTAATGAGCTACTTTTTTAGCCTTTACACCTGTCACGTATTATGCAAGCCTTCATTAAAATCCTCATCCAATCAATAATAGTCAGCAATCAATTCCGAACATACTCTAGAACTTTGACCCGGCCGCTTGCAGTCGGAGAGCTTTTTAGTTGATTGCGCAGGTTAAACGCACACAATTTATAGTCCACTCCACTTTAATGTCAATGTTATAAAACTTTTAGATACGTCACACTCATAAAATAGAAATATATTTTAAAAGGGATCTACGAAGCAGAGTGCAACTAAAATATGCTTGCACCGCTTCAATATAGGGTCTAGTAACGTTTACTAAGTATGCAGTGGATGGAGTTTGAATCTATATTCATATTAATCTACATGATTTTTTTTTTCAATGCTTATAACAATAATGTAGTCTCTATGTATATAATTTTTATGATAGCAATAGTTTTCATAACTTTTTACATCTCTTGATTAATTTCACTGACATAAAACTAGTTTTGTAACAACCCTGAAGCATGGTTTAAGACAGGGTTGCGTAAAGTACGGGTCGACGACCTTAACAACAAAGGTTGCAGCGTTAGATGTACAATTTTCTCATTCAAATTCCCACCGCATCTTAGAAGATTGCAAGTACAAACGCTGAAAGTGCCTACTGAAGCGGAGGTACATTTTAGATGTTGAAGTTGGGGGTTCCTCGCAGTCGTCTATTTGTGAACACATCTGGAATATTTGTCTTTTATAAATTGCGTTTAACTATATATGATTTTGTGCTTCAATCTCTTGTTTAAACAGATCATGAGCATATTTGTTATCTTGCATACAATATTTATTAAACTACAATAAACTTAACTTCATTACAAAAGTGTTAACAATCATCAAGTTGTTGTAATTAATAAAATTGGTAGAAAACGCATACTTTTATTGCTAGTGTCATATACGGCAACGTTAAAACTAATGCAAACGAATGTTTTTGTTAATTATTCAATTATGATTGAATTAGGGAAAAGCCATTTTAAACAACACGAAGTTGCTTTCACCTCGCCAGATTATAAAAATATATAAATCAATTCGGTTGAGTACAAATAATAATATTAAAAATGAAATCCGTAATAAAAAGGTAAAACCAGTCTTAAAAATAAGCTTAATTAAATAAAAAAAATCAGATTAGTAGTATAAATATGTCTTATGGTTTTAATAGCTATGTATTTTTGATTTAGCAAAGAAAACATAAGTTAGTAAGTTCAAAGAGTTCACTTCAATGAATTAAAAATAAATGTTGGACCACCGCAAATGAGTGTGCAAAGGTTTCATTGAATAACTTGCAGGTATGTAATTTACTTAATTAAGTAATCCCCGACGACGGACCACACCGCCAGACTCTAAGGCGACACGTCGTATACGATATAACTACTTGGATAAATTGACTTTCAAATTAATTTATAGACAGTTAATTCCGTGTTAAAACTAATCGGTTTCTAAATTATACGTCTTAATTATCCATTATAAATATACCTATAATTAGGAAATAATTGAATATTTAAATAATATGCTTTAACGTTTATAGTAATTACGCTTAATGAAAACTTTATTGTTAAAATATCAAAATAATGCTGCAAATATCCGTAAAGACTTTATACATTGGTAAATAATATAAAATACTGTCGATACATCATAATTTTTTTTTTAAACATCAATAAAAATTATTCGCGTTTTTAAACATTTTTAACATTGACCTCATTATAAGTTGGCTACAAATAATGGATTACTTATTTATCTGTAAAACTCCAAAGACAAGTGATTACGTATTTAATAAAATAATGTGGGTAGTTTTTAATTAATTTGATTTTAATTTGAAATGTTGCTCATTTTATAACTTAAATTCCATGTTCATCTTCTGAAGTGTCAAAGATAAACACAGGTTTGATGAAATAAATCACGTACGGTAATAAACTTAAGATTAACCTATTTAGAAAACATCCGTACCTAATGAAGTCGTTAAAAATACTCACCGTTTATAAAGGTGCAACAGGATCTTGCATGCACTCAACTCAAGCTTTCCACAAAATCAAAAGCACAAAATAGAAAAAAAAAACTTATAGGACAAAGAAAATTAAATACGACACAAAATTGTACTGAGAGTTCACCTGCAGATAGGTATTAAACAAAAATAAATCAAAGATTAAAACAATTTGACGTTCGCAAAGTTTTTGACGTTTGAACTTGGAACAAAACGACAGGGACGCACGACGCGTGTTATCCCTGCCAATGACGGCGCGAGACTATTCGCAGAGCAAGAACGGCCACCTCTTGCCTCTTGGGGAGCTTTCGGTGCTCTCGAGGCGAGAATCCGTCCGTCCCTCTCGCGCAACCGGTCACCTGCCGGATAAAAAAAAATATAGAAGCCTCACATTTCGCCGAAATACGAACCAAACCAAACAGCACTTTATAAACGGTCAGGTACGCGGCAACTTCGTTTACCTTGCCCATTGACATCCCTGTGGGATAGCGGGGGGATTAAGCTACTTTACGGGTACCAAATGTTGTTTCTTGCCTCCGGCCATTAAGAACCAACGTTCGCACGCCGCTAGCTGTAATTTGGATACATTACCTATCATTCAGTGTCTTGTAAATTGCCATAGAACGGTGAGAGCGTACTGACCTACAACAGTGATAGACTTCGAACGCGTTATAAATCTTTAGCGAGCACGCGATAACTGTATGTATAAACACGGAGAGGATCTTAGCGGTCACCAGATAACAAAGCCAGCATCTGTGAACGTGCTTGCTCCTAATTTATCTCGTTTTTCCCGTGTTTTATCCCTCTTTTGAATATGTAAGGCAAATATTTGAACTGACAGAGAAGCGCAACAAATCTTTCATATACCCTTGTGTTTCGACTGTCGAAGCATTTGTATAAAATCACATTGACATCCCTTTCAATTACTTTGAAAAAAACAGAGAGAGGAAACCCAAGAATCTTCGACCTAAACAAAAGACAGATATATTATACAAGACTTTCATCTTACAAGCGCAGGCTGCACTTAATTTCAAATCAACTTTTACACGTTACATTTTAAAATGTCAACCTATATCAGCTATTACTGCGCAAAACCTATGATTGTAAATGTAAATTACAATTTCTTGCAAACCTCGACACGATACTGTGTCCACGGAAGAAATGATTGATCGTTTCATCGTAAAATAGGTACCAGGTGTAAGCAAAAACATTGTATTTTAAAACTTATTTCGCTCAACTATGGATGATTTGACATTATTCTTGTAGGATAAGAAAATGAACCAACATTTGTAACCATTTTTCTTAAACAAAACTTATATTATTCAAACTTGTGTAGTCTAAGATTTTTTCTTTATTCCTCTGCCACAATGATTAATTTTAATAATAACTTCTGTCGAACAGCTGTTATTTCCTTTGTTAATTAATTAAAAAATGTATCTTTCCAAAACCTTGCGGAGGTAAATCGCCGTAGACACGGCAAAGCACTCAGCAAAACCCCGAAGCGAAGTTAAGCTTAAAATAGTAAAGCACCCGCACCCGCAAACCGCACTCTTAAATCCTATTAAAGGCAGAGCGCATCTATTCATAGTTAAGACAAAAAGTAACCCTACGTACTAAAAGTTTATATTAATACAATAATTTTAGTCAACTTCGTCAGTTCATAGACGTCCTCGGAACTCTAGCTGATCACTAAATTAAAGGTAACTGGGGCTTAACCACGGTGGCCCATTAATTAACTACACAAACATTTTTATAATTCTTGGCACATAGCAGGTTGCATTATGAAATATAAATTCTACTGGGATCGAACTCGAACGTGCACAATGCAAATATAGTGCTTAATCACTGAGATGCCAGTGCTCTTAATGATCTTAACACCATTATTATAAATGTTTAGAGTGCGCGCACACCTTTGACTAAATTACCGCACAACTGTTTAGTCTCGCTTTGATTATTATGAGCTTATATTAGGTTAGACTTCTCGATTTTTAGCCGTGCAAGTAAACTGTTCAATAGGCTGCAAAACAAACGATAATCACACAACGTTGGGCGATAGTTTTGTCAAAGGTGTGCACACGTTCTTACGATTTCGAATATGACCTCATCTTTTTCAAGAACTATGATTGGATATCTGTACAAAGTATGTAAATTATATCTTGACAGTATTATGTTTGATTAGATTGAGAGCGCACACACAATGTTTCGAATGAAGTCATATTAACTGGAACTGTAACAAATCAATCTTATCTTACTAATGTTATAAATAGGAAAGTTTAAATGGATGGATGGATGGATGTTTGTTAGAGTTTGTAGCCTAAACGGCGGAACGGATTTCGATGAAATTTGGTATGGATGTAGAGGATAGTCTGGAAGAACACATAGGCTACTCACTTTTGTTTTTTTAATTCCACGCGGACGGAGTCGCGGGCGAAAGCTAGTCGGTTATAAACGATAATTAGACTATATATACATATACATAGACCATTTAAATATATAATATAGCATATTTATTAAAAGACATAGCTTCAAAGATCAGAATAAGTTCAAATCGTGGATCATCGCAAAAACTGTTCCTTTCTAAGCTTTTGAAAGTCAAAGTTCTCGTCTCGTAGAAATTATCTCTAACTTACAGAAAAACTGAGTTCACATTTGTTTCACAACACGTTTTAGAAGTGCATCTTTAATTTGAATTTATTGTTACTTGTATCTTAACAATAACCAAAGTAATTAATTAGTTAGTAATAAGATTTTAAATGTCAACACTATAGATAGGGGTCATGGTTTGTTAGCTGCAAGTGAAAGCACAAAGCGAGGTGCGACTAGCGACCACCCAGTCCCAGACAAACCAGCTCCCAACTACCCGACCTGCTTGCTGCTTCAAGATCGCACATATTTCAGTATTTTCGTTTCAATTGAAAGACATTCCTTTGCCGACTTATTTTTTATTAACTAATTTAACGTAATATTGTAAATACCCGAAATAATTTTCTTAACAGAACAAACAACATGTATGATAGACTCCCAATATTTACAAACATAAAGAGGAAAGATTTACATTTTTGTATTTATTGAAATAAATCAAAAACTACTAGGCCGATTTCAAAAATTCTTTTACCATTAAAAAGTTACATTATCAGCGAGTAACGTCTTTTAATATTTTTTAATTCCACGTGGACGAAGTCGCAAGGAACAGCTAGTTAAGCATAATTTGCGTCAGTCAAATGTCTATGATGAAAATCACTCGTTTCCACTTAACGGCAACTCCTTAACCATTACAAGAAGTAACCTCTGACCCCGAACGTTGAGACCACTTAACGTCGTAGTAACAAAACCTGTCAAGAGTTATTTTTAACCAATCTTGTAAAATGGGACAGTCGCTAAAATAAATTTACGTTTAAATATTTAACTTTAACCATTTTAGATTTAGGGATTTATGTAGATTATGAGATCCATCCGCGAGGATTTAAAAAAAAATCTATGTGTTCTTCCATCTTCTACGTTCATGCCAAATTGCATCGAGATCCGTTCAGCCCTTTAGGCTACAGACTCTTATAAACATCCATCCATCCAACTTTCACATTTATAATATTAGTAAGACGTAAGACAGAAAACTCTAGTGATGTGAGAACGGTCAGCCAACGTACTGAGCGAGTGGGTCAAGGATCCACGAAGACCGTCCCTATTGTTTGAATACAACGGGTTTTGAGCTATAAATGTAAAGCACTGCACCGTCTTTACCTGTAAATATTGTCTAAGGTCAAACAAGACCTGTTTTACTAATGAAAGAAAGACGGATGAAAAAATAAAACAAATAAACTCCGTTACTTCCTGAGATCTTCGGGTTTTATTATTTTTTATAGTCTGTGTAAAAACTTTTTTAAATCCCGTTTAAAAATAAATAAACGTCAAACGTTTGTCAAAAAATATGTCTTGTTATTTTTAAAATATTTATCAAATATACTCAATTCACGATCAGAAGTGAATGTAATTTTATTTTATCGATATCGACGATAAATAAAAAGACAATATGACAGGTAAATAAACACTTGTTACCAAATATTTTAAGGAACAATAACTATTTGGTTCCTTAGCTGTAAGTCTGTTAGGACAATTTTAATTTCCTGCCCTTTTTAAGCCTGTAGGGTAGGAGAACAATATTCACGTTCTTTCTGGCTACACTATCACTATTTTGAACAAAACAAGCTTTAACTGCGGCTTATTGTAAATAAGATCTAAGAAAGAAAAGAATCGCATCGGAAGTCTGTTATTTGACCCATGTTTTAGTTCAAAGGTTCAGATGACCTTTTATTGTGCGATACCATTCATTTAATTATTTAACGATAATAGGATGTAATTAATCACTTATCTAACAGCGACAGCCTCGTCTAGTCAAGAGCAAGCCGTCGTGCTCAACCTCGGAGCAATGATCGACCTGGCAATCGGCACGCCAGAGGTAAATAACATATTTTACAGATCCACTCAACTAGAACCAACGACCTAAAGGAGTAATCAGAGTTGTTATATATAATACTAGCCGATGTATAATATGTTACTCACTGATAACGTAGGTTTTTAACGGTGTAAATATTTTTGAAATCGGCCCAGTAGTTTTGAGTTCTTTTGATAATGTTTGAATTATTGTATTCCAAGCATTACCCAAGTTCGTTTTTCCATCTCTTGTTTAATGAGTGTAAGAGGGTACTTGACAAAATTCGTTGTCAACATGAACCACTTAAAATATCTTGGTGACATTTCATCGACTTAAATCGAAATAACATTTGTACGATAAATTTCGGTGTTTAGAAATGAGTTTATATTTATAAATAATCATTTACTTAATTTAAAACACAATTTAAATACAAGTGAATGAGATCGAGATATTGCAAAACCTTTTTAGGAAAATAAATATGAGGGTATTTCCAAATTCTGCTACAATCAGTCAAACTATTGAACATAAACGTAACGCGATACCCTGTGAAAAAATGTAAACCATTAAAATATCTACCCTTAGGTAGGTGTCGTGGACTTCGGAATGCTACAAATAGTGTTACACTGCTTGGCACAAGAGATACGTATGGGAGAGAAGCACATCGAACTGAGAGGAGACTCGGATATGCTGCCAGTGGGAAGGGACTATGTGCGCACGGTTTACATAACAGAATTCGCCGTGGACACTGCAGGGAACAAGGTAACTAAAAACTGATGATACAAATATCCTATGCCTGTTAATCTGTGTTCGAAAGATACGGGTTTCTTACCACGATTAGGTTGTATTAGCTCCGTGAACATATAACAAAAGTGGGACGCCTATGTATTCTTCCAGACTATCCTCTACGTCTATGCCAAATTTCATCGAGATCCGTTCAGCCGTTATGGCTATAAATTCCTACATTCATCCATCCATCTACACTTTCGCATTTATAATATAAGTAACATTTTATAATATTGTTCTTCTTTGTCATGACTATCAACGAAGTGGCATATTTTGTTTAAATAATTGAATTATTGTATTAAATCATTAATTGATTTACAGACACAAGAGATTGATCCTCATGCAGGTGAGTCCCAGAGAAAATATAATACAATGAGTAACGTAAAAACTAAATTACTAAAATGTAACGTCTATAGCACAAAAATAATCTATCGTATTGAATCTTCGTTTTGTTTTGCTTACTAAATCGACGTAATCTCATGTTTTTTTTTTCAGCTCCATCGCCTCAGGGACCAAAACCTGAAAGTATTTTCTTAGGTGTGTAATAATTTTTCACCACAATTAGTATTTAAGGTTATATATATAATAATAAAATAAAATAATTTGATATAACCCTAATTGCCCTCACGCCAGGGTATCGATTCAAAATTATACAAAAATGTTTTTATTCCAAAGTTAAATTATCATAATATTTTCATCTTTCAGTGGAACGCATGAAAAAGTCGGAAGTTGGTAAGATTTCTAATTCAAAATTAAGAAATAAAAAAAATTAACAATATCTCTGTAATAGATTGACAATAGTACTCAATAAAAGTTAATCGTATTACCTAATGTTAAAAAAAAAACATACAGACGAATTGAGTACCTCCTTCTATTGGGAAGTCGGTCATAAAATATAACATTGTTACTAATTGTATTAACTATTGTTAATACTTTATCACTTTATACATTTCAGGGGATCGATCTAAGAAGGTGGAACAAGCACAGGGTAAACGAATATATTATTTAAATTTGAAGTACTTTATATTATTCTAATCTAAGCCTCGCAAACGAAGAGAAAACAGTCTAAATTTGATTTTTAATCTAAAAAAATCTCCTAGAATCGATAGTTAATTATTTGACAACCATTTTTGGAATAATAGAATAAACTAATGTTACGTCATCAGTGGTCGCACCGTCATTATCGCGCAAAGTAAAGCCCGAGGAGCCGCCAAAGCCCCCTGCTCAGGAACCGCCCCCGCCAGAGCCGGCCCAGCCAAAGCCGGCTCCGCCAGAGCCGGCTCCGCCAGCGCCGGCCCCGCAAGTGCCGGCCCCGCCAGAACCGCCTGCTCCAGTCCGCAGCAAGCCTGCCTCCACGGAGCGCCTCTCACTTGTCACCCTCAGCAAGTTCAACGTACTCGAAAATACAGTAGAAGATCTTAAAAATAGAGTCTACGGCAGCATGCCGAAGAACGAAGAAATCTTAGAAGAAGTTCGGTGCGGAGTCTTTGAATTTCAATTAGCACTAATGATAGTTTCCGGTTCCGGTTTCACTAGTTTCCGGAGCAAACTCAAACGTATGCTTTTGGATTCATCTTCGGGTTTTGACAAAGATTTTACATAATAAGTCTACCACTACTATTCTATCAAAGACCAATCAATGGTTTTCGACTAAACGTGTATGTATGTATATCGGCTAAAGATATTTTCCTTATTTCATGTTATACATCTTTTATTTTTTACCTTACTTCAGATTTGGATTATAATTAAAAAGCTAATAAACAAAAAAAATCTAGATCTCAAACAAATCTCAAAGCCATTACGGATATGTGGACTTCATTGAACGTGTCCTCGCGGCTCGAGGCGACCGAGGCTGGTATCGCAAAGCTTAGCTCTCTGGT